CAGTGTGATGCTGGAGATGTGGATGTACCTTAGCTGTGCACAAGTTCACATTCTCCAAGTTCCTGCCTGAAGATCAGCCTGTGCATTGTGCTGATTCCTTCTCTGCAGGCTGCTGCAGTTTAGACCTTTTTGGAGTCAGAGAAAGAACAAGATTGTGATTTTTATGTTCATTTCCAGCCATTGCAGCCAACAATGTCTTCTACAACCATCAGTCATAGGATAAAGTACTGAAATAATCCCAGGATGGGAGGTGGCACCTGTTTTGTTTGCTGTACAGTAGTTTTAAAGGGAAATGTATTTCAAGGCACCTTTGATATTTTTTCTCTTTAATAAACTGTTGAATAAGAGCATTGGTTCTTATGGTTTGAACATGACTAATGAATTTGTGTAATGTGAGGTTGGTCAGACCAAATATTTATGGCAGACAGAATAACGAGGCCAAAGCAATTGTTGCAGTAAATTGACCAAATATTTTGAGATCTACTGAAGAATTCTTCTGTACAAAGGATGGTATTAGCAAACAGGTACAGACTTGAACTGCAGTCCTGAGAAATGTACACCTTGGCACAACTGCAGAAAGCAAAAAGGTAAAAAGAATGACAAATAGGTTTTCAAAACTATGGAGCAACTCAAAAATATTTCAAAACTTCTCCATGAAAGGAGGTGCAATAGTGTGTCTAGCTAAGCTGGCACAATTGTATCAAAACTCAGCTTCAGTTTTGCTGTTTATTTCAAACCAAAAAACACTATAAAGCTGGTCTTTCCCATTTACAGCATTTTTTCTAGTAAATTGTACCACCTTTCTTCACTTTATATTATTTACTTAAATAATGCAAACATGCATCACACAGGAAAAATTATTGAGGTATAAGAGCAAAGGCACATCTGAACAAACAGCTTGAGGACAAAGCTGTGATGACATGGGAGCAATTCTCACTGAGGCTCTGAATACATTTTCAAAGCAGGATTTTGTACCTGATTTAGTTACTGTTTTAAATTTCCAAATAAATATTGGTGTTCAGTGAAAGATAATTACTAGAGGCATTATGAGTCTGAACACAGTGTCAAAAGCAAAGGGTATGATTGTTTAATAATGTGAACAGAATGGGAACCCTTATGTCTGAAACACTTTGAATCACATCATAAGGAGATGAAAATAGCACTTGAAATGATAAAAACAGGGATCCAGTGTGAATCTGGGTGGAATCTCTGGTGCAGAATCAAACTATCAACATTGGGTAAACCTTCTCTGCTGATCAGGATTTGAATGCTTTTCTTAAATCTCATAAGCACTCCTAAAGTTCTTTGTGTGTTTTTAGCAAAAGATAGCACATTGACATAAATTCCATTGTGCTGAACTGTTAACACCAAGGGAAAGCTAAGCTGTCAAAATCAAACTTACTGAATAAGTTCAGACTTCTCCTAAGGTAAAAATAACTCACTGTTAAAAAAAAAAAAAAAAGAAGACACAAAGATAGTGGCAGATACACTGAGTGCATTTTGAAATGCAGAAATGTTGTTATTTAACTAATAAAAAAAGGCATTACTCTGAGTAGAACCAACTTAAAAGTGTTACATCCATTCTTAGTAAATATTTTTTCCTATTTTTCTCTTTGGCCTTACACAAGCCCAGCTGTTAAAAGCCATCAAAATGCCCTGATCTGAATATTAGAAGAAGTGATTATCTCTGGACTGCTTCTGTGAAGTAAAACTTATCAGTCTCATAGTTTGAGAGACAGCCTGTACTACACATCTCAGGGACCAAATGCCAGGAAAGGATTAACAAACTACACAGAAGTTGTATTCACTGGAAAATGTACCAGAGCACCAAAAGGAAGCTGCACAGAGGGTGAGCCTTTAAAAAGAACCATTCCATGCTGAGGTACCTGGGCAGCTGCTGGTTTCACACTCCTGTCAGCCTGGAGCTTAGGGACAGGACAACTGACATGGGAAAAAGACCTTTTGGAAGTTACAGAAACAAATTCTTGGGAATGCCCTGAGGCTCCCTTTCCTCCATCATGCCAGACACTGTGGATTTCCTCCCAATGCCTGGACATGCCCAGATCTGAGTCCTTCCAGCCCACAGGGACTCTTTCCATGCCCACACCCCTCACTCTTCATACTTTATACATGTTGGACCTTCATGGCTTCTTCCCTCCACACTCCTTTCACACCATTATTAATTCTATTTCTACAATGGGAGCCCAAGCAGAGATGAGATATTTTGTTGTCAAACTGCATGCTGCTAATAGCTTTGATCTGTGGGCAATTACAGATCCTATTGTAGCCTCTGGATCTGCCAGCTCAGTATCTGAGCTTCATATATTCCCTGTTTAGCTTTTTTTCTCATTTGATTCTGCTTAAATCTGTAAATACCTGTGAATTTATGCCTAGGACAGTCTTTGAGAAATGGTGGAGCTGACTGGATGTATTATTCAAAAGTTTCCATGTTACAGCCTAAAAGCCAAACGACACCAACCTGAGAATAAAACCCTGCTCCATTTGGCTCCCTGTTCTCTGCAGCAGCTTTCCTGGGGTGAGCTATTTGGAGCATGTACAGAAGCATGTGTCACTTTCATGTTGCTATTAAGGTGAGGCCATTGTGCCAAGAGCTGAGAGGAGTTTTCATACAGTTTGAAAAGACAAAACCAGGACACTGGCTTTGCTTCACGTGTGGGTGAAAGAAGGCAAGGGGCACAGCCAGAGGAGCTAGGAACCAAGAACAGCCAACCAGAGAAAGTTCTGTAATCAAAGTCCAAGAAAAGGGGGTTTTTTTCATGAAATTTGCCATTAGAGATATTGAGGAGGCCTATGTATTAAATTCCTGAGTTTTGAGGCACTGTAATAGAGCTGTCAAACAAAGATATAGAAAGTGCCACTGTTTCCACGAGACATGACAAGCTAAGGATTCCCAACAAAGTCAGGCCACCTGAGGAGGGATAATGAAAGTGATTACATCAGCAAAGAGGAAGGAACAATCCAGGTAAAGAGTTGGTGGATGTTTGATCTTGGAGGGTTGCTGTTACCTCCAGTGCAGTCATCCAAAGCTGTCTAAAAATTAAATAGGCTAAAAGAACAAGAATGCCTAGGATTTCTTCCAGGAATTTCTGTAGTTACCTACTAGGCATCAAAGGAGGCTTCTTTTGAACCTTCAAATATACAAGGAGGTCACATGCATTAGCGACTGCAGATTTGGAAACCTATTATTCATTATTTTCTTTTATTGATTGTTTTACAGTCCCCAAGGCTTGTGTGTTGCTTTCTGTGCCACAAAAAAAAAAAAAAAAACCTGTAAAATCTTGAGGTTTTTCACAAAAAACCAAGCAGCTGTCTCTCCTTGTTAATGACAATAGCAGCGTATTTTTTTGCCTATTAATTCTAATTAGGGGGTCTCACATGAATGTTAAGTCAAATTTTTATAATGAATGATGTCTTGTAACCGGAAAAAAACAGATAGATTGACCTAAGATAATTTCTTATATAAAGATGACTTTTAAAAATGTAAAATCGCAATAAATTAATTACTCAGCTTAATCACTTTGTTAATTTTTGTTTAAAGAAAATATGATGCCATGCCATACTCAGACCATGCTGGCATCCAGGACAAAGAGACAAGCCAAAGCAATGATAAAATTGTGGAAAAGTAAGGTATCACCCAGAGATAACCCAGCCACTAATTAAACAGATGCAGTTAGAAAAATAATCTACTTGTTTTATAACTCTAGGTGGCAGCAGTGGAACAAAATAGAGAAAAATGTATGATTATGATTATACTGGCTTCCTGTTAATACAAAATCCATTAATTAAATACTGTTGATGCTATTGCATGACACAGTGTTACTTTTACACTCTAGATGGCAGCAGCATCACAAAATACAGAAAACTAAGATTAATTGTATTCATGCTGTGTCTGAGAATGCAACCCCTTCAAGTTTTTGGAGGTTAAAGTTGGAGAGGTTGAAATGCAGATTTCCTGTAGGCATTTCCCACCACAAAAGAAGAAAAAAAGCCCTAACAGTGATTGTTAAATATCATGTACAATTACAGGCAAATCACTTCTGAAGCAAAGCGAGGTTTTGCCATTCTGGGTTTTCCCAATGGAGAACAGATGTGCAGAAAACATAAATGACAGCACCTCTGCAGGTGTGTGTAGTACAGTGATCCTAAAAAAATCCGTGCATGTGCATACCTGTCATGCTTTTGTGAATCAGGAGAGTTACAGCCTTTGCCAGAGAAGGCAGTAACAGCAACCATAGCATGTATTCAGTCTTTCAAGGGTAGGTGTTTGCACACATCAGCTGACAAGGGCTTCATGTGCATACGGCTGGGTCAAAAGACTGAGGTGACAAGAAGGCATTTGCTTTAGAAGATACAGAGTTTTGGTGAAACCCATTTTGAGTCTTCTCTGACTAGAAAGCATCATAGGTGCCAGCTCAGCAGAAGGCTGAGCTGGGGCCAGCAGCAGGAGGGCCTGGAGATGGAACCACAAAACCTCATCTCTGCTGCTTTTCTCTCTCCCGATGGAAAGAAGGCCCCAGCTGGATGAAAAGCTCCAGCAGCCCAGTAATACTTTCATATTCAAACCATTACCTGCCAGGGGAGGTTACACAGAATTCTACAGAGCGTTATTTAAGTATCTGAGTCTGTTTTTTCAGGTTGCTGTGGGTACTTCCCCTGTGTCATTATGCTGAGCTATGGCCAAAAACACAGGTACCCAGCAGAGACTGTGACCAGCAAGGTAAGGCACCACCAGCTCTGAACATGGGATATTAAGGGAAATGCAGTGTATGAAGAGATTCTTTTGGGGAGCTCACTTTGTCCAGCTGGCTGCTGTATCAGACTCAGAGGCCTCTGGAGGGGGGAGAAGGTTATCTCCTGCTCCAGCTGCCCAGTGCCATGGCAAGGTCACACCATGGGGGTGGTTCCTTTGCCTTGTTCAAAGGTACAAATCTCTGATGAGATGTCTCACTGGGATCTGTCAGTGTGATCCAAGGACTATGAGAGAGACCCAAACACTAACTGGGGGCCCAGTGAGTTTTTCCATTGTTCTTTGATCAGTTAACATTCACTCAGTTTGGAAAGGTTCTTGTTCTGTGATCCATTTAATAATGGATGTTTAATGAAATTATTATTTTGTTAAAAATTGTTATATCTGTCTAGGAAAAAAAGATGAAAGTGGGAAACTAAAATTGGGCTGGTATCATCAGTATTAAGCTAAAGCAAAAGTTAAGACAGTCCACATACTGAGTGAATACAAACCTGAAGAATTTTTTAATCTAAATATATTTATAAGCTATTGGTAAATCGGGTCTGAATTAAATTATCAGATCATCAGTTCCAAAGACTGACTATAAACTTTAAATAGTTCATTATGAACTCTTTGATTATAAATCCTAAAGAATTTAATCCTGTGAATCTGGAACTCAGAAGTTACATTAATATTTTGATAGGGAAATGAAAAAAACCTTTAGTACCCGAATAATCTCTGAGAAAGAGATTGAGTTCTCTTTTCAGTTCCTCTGCAGTGGCTAACACCTTCCTTTTCTCAAAAGTAAGCCTAGTCAACTATTGTTTCAGGCTACTTAAAACTTATTGCAAAGTTTTCTGGCACTTTTCCCAGCTGAACTCCAATAGCTTTTAATAAACAGACCTGACTGCATTTTCAGATCCTAAAATTAAATTAAAAATATTTCGGATGTCTCTCACCAAGGAAGGTAAGGATAAAAGCAAGTACAGGAAAAATCATATACTGAAGACTGCAAAAAATTTTCAACTCTCTCCTCTGTTCCTGTAGTCTCTTGGAAGAAGAAGTGAAGCAGTCACGGAGCCAAGAGGTGGTGCAGGTACTGTGCCCCTCACTCGGGGCTCTTTCCACAGCCCAGAAAGGAGCCCATGCACAGGGGTGCTCGGGCTGCTCTGGGGCTCTGCCAGTAGATGTGCTGAGGTTTCTATTTTCTGGTGAATTCCAGGTGCCACCTGCACTGTGAGGTGTGTGACAAGCTCCCTGTCCTTGGCAGCCCTGCACAACTCCATGGTCACAAGCCAGTGATGTGTTTGAGATCTGAGTTTTCTGAGGATTAGGCACAGCTTAGGGACAAGTGCCTGCTGGGAGGCTGTTCCAGGAGACAGTGATTCCATGGAAATAGTAGTTCCTGTTAAAGTGAGAGTCCTGTTGAACTTAACACTGTGGCATTAATTTGGCCAGATGTGTATTTGCACATCTGCTGTAGCTAGATTCCCAGACAAAACTGTTCCATGGGTGGGATCAGAAGGCACAGTGAAACAGGGGGGTGTATCTGCCACCTGGGCCAAAGCTCTCTGTCCCTTTTCTGCTTTGAGTAGATTCCTTCAAGGCTTGGACAACTCTTGACAGCAGAGATCCCATTAGATGGTGCCAGTTAATGGTGGGATGAGGGCAAAGACAGCTGCTGCTTTCTCCTTAGTATTATTAATACATGCAGTAATAGTAGTGTTATTTTCTGCCCACCATTATTAATTTGTCAGGTGAATAGCAGCTACATACTGCAGGAGACCAATCTGCAGGGTTCATTGTTTTATTTCCTCATTATTGCAATGACTTTGAATACTTCTTTAAAAGGAAGTTCCTGTGCCTGAGGCCATAATGCACATACCTGCTGTCTGACCCACTGTGCAGTTGCACAGAGAAAGGACCAAAGACCTGTTCTAGAAACAATGCCTTGGAGTGGAGCAATGCAGGAGGAGGAATGACACAAGAAGAATGTGTGTTTTCTCTGGAGAGGAAAATGCATTAGGACACAAACATTTGCTGCATGTGCATGAGTGCCTGTCTCAGTGACACAAAGCCACTTCACTGAAGTGCTCTCTCAGCCTGGGAGGCACCAGCATCAGGCACAGACCTAAACTACCTCTTGTTTTGTGAACTCCTGCAATTCTCAGGTGTGGAGGTGTCTTAATTTACTGAAATGAGACAATGGCTGAAGATGCTGAGAAGCACTGGCTGAGATTGTCACAGAACCCTTGCAGCAGAACCTGGTTTCTTTGAAATATTCTCCACCATTTAAGTTATTTTTCCCCATACTTGGGGAAAAATAACAGGATCATTCCTGTGATTTCTAGCACATAGTCCCTCCCCTAGTGCATACTCTCACCGTGTAGGCTACATCATAAATCCTAAAGAAGGTGATTCACCAGCTCCTTGGACTGCCCCTGGCAGACTTTCTCTAAAATTAGTGCCTTGGAAATATCACTAAGAGCAGGGAAATTCTCCAGCTAATATTTGAATAAAAAAGAGATCTTTGCTTAATAGCATGTGAAGGTTATGTAGTGAGGAGCACTTTTCTGCAGGTAATGTAAACTGATCCTCAGTATAAATGATCATGGTGAGATCCTTCATTAGAAGTCCATAAAATAAAGATAACACAGATAAAATGATATCAGGAAGATAAAGTTCCATTTGGGTGAAAGCACTGTGCTGAAACAAATAATCTGTCATATTGATCAGCATAATGCTTCTGACAGAACTGTTCTGCTCCTTTGAAATCCCCTTCAGCTGCTTTTTGCTGTTGTGGGATAATGCAGAGCTGGGCTGTGAGGAGCTGTGAGCTGGATCTGCTTTACAAAGCCCTGTCCACATCCCCCTACTCCTGTCCAGCTGCAGGCTGTCCCCTCTGCCAGCAAGCAGCTCCTTCCTCTTTCACACAGCACTCAAACCTCACCTGGCACAGCTCTCCTGCCCTGTCTACCCTGCCTGAGCATCCCCCTCCACCTGCAGCAGCTCCTTGCTCATCTCCTGAGAGTTCCCCATCACCTCCCTGTGTGAGCAGCCAGACTCTCCCCACGGCTGACCAGGCAGCTCCATTCCCCCTGAAAGGCCCCATTGCTACAGACCCCATTTTCTGTATGCATAGGCAGCTGCAAAGGGTGTGGGCAGGGAAGGTGAATGGCAGGAGCTGTGGTGGGAATACCTTATGGACTGATACCATAAGAGCTGTGTGCTGGGCTGCAATGCACTGAGTGCTTTCACACATGGAAAATGAAATTGGCCTTCTCCAACTACAAGCCAGATGTAACCTGACTGAGATGACGATCTTCTTCAGTCCATGTAAACATCAAAAACTTCATGCTTTGAACTGAAGAGCTCAAACCTAGGAGAAGAAAATATGTCTCAGCATTTCATGCTGAAATCAACTGTTATCTTTGCAACATGAACAAGCTGCACCAATAACACTCTCAGCTGAACACGCAGATTTTCAGTTTGGTTTTGCTGATAACTAAAAATTAACAATTCAACATAAGTCTTAATGTAGGCATGTGTCTGTCTGGCACGTGCAAGACTTTCCTCCAGTAGCTCCTCTCTCTTAATGCTGCAAAAATCAGTAACACCAATGACTGATTGAGCAGAAAATACCTTGAACTTTGGAAGAGTGACTTGGCACCTGAGCCCTACACAGCTTCGAAAGGACAGCACTCCCTTGGAGCTTACCAAGTCTTCTCTCAAAGGTTACATGACAAAATGTCACCAGAGCCTTCAGAAAGAGTATGATCAATCAAAGTATGATTAATTTTCTGGTTTGTGATATTTCTACTTTGATAAGGGGATAGGCAGATTAGGTTTTTCCATTAAAAAGTTAACCCTTTATGTTCAGTCTTATCTGTGGCATTTGAATTGGATTTTACTTCAGCTACTTTTTCCAGACTCAAATAGATGAGAGACCATTTTTTTTCACTTTTTTTGTCTTGTCAAAAGAATTATATACTACATTTCATGTATACAATACATGTATACAAATGTATTTGATGAAACTGGGTAGATGATACAAGCTGAAATTTGAAACAGAGAAGTCTTGACTAACTGGAAGTAAATGCATAAAATATGTATGCACATGATGGAACACTGGAAACACAAGTTCTAACTACAGTTTCAGCTCCAAGGTTATGGTGTCGGGTCTTGGGTTGCAGGTTTTCCAAGCCCAGTGGCACAAAAAATATGTCCTTTGCTTTTTTTTTTGTGCAGAATCATTGACAGACAGCAACAATACATCTACTCTATACAGAAGAATATGTAGAAAATCAAGTATGAAGTGTAATCTCATTATCAAAGAGAAGACAAAGCTTTGATGTCAACAGGAGTCCTTCTGTAGACTTTGATATAGAATTAATTTCAGTAATCTTAATTATTTTGCCCCAGTCTTAATATCTTTATTGCACCACTTTTCCTAAAAGAGAGCAAACAGTTTGGGGATTTTCTTTTCTTTCTTATTCAATTTTGTTTTGGTTTCAGTGGGAGTGTTTGGTGTTGGTTGAGTTGCTGAGAAAGAAGTCCTGAGGGACAAGAGAGGTTGTGTGTGTCTTGGAATGTAGATGTAGGTGGCATATTGGCCTTATGATGGATGCAGAGAATTGAGGAGTGATAATTCACCCAAAATCCCCAATTGTAATATTTTGATGTATTATGACAATATAATCTTGTGTATTAATAACAGATTATAATATGTATATTTATAGGGTAGTATGTTGCCAGATGAGATTTGCTTATGTAAATTGTGCTACCTGTGTTTGAAACTGATAGTGGCTGTGACTTAATGGTGCTCCAAAAAGCACATTGTAGCTTCAGTCTTAGGTGGGATTGTGTGTTTGAAGAAGTCTCTCAATGTTTATTTGTTTCCTCCCTATTCTCTCTTTAGGATTTTTAGAAAAATGTATTTCCTCCAAGAACTCTAGTCTCCTAATTTGGTGATATACATTTCATTTAGCTGTGTGCCCCTTTATGCGGTCTTGATTTAATGTGTCATTTTCTTCTGCCTCACAGAACAGGGACGAGTGAGCAAGAACCAAAACTTTTCTGAAAACAGCAAGAAAGGCTTTATTATATAAAGCTTAAACAGAAAAGCAAGAGTGACAGGATTTCCATACAACTGAAAGATTATCTTCTTTAAATGTGTAACTCATGTTTGCTCTTTATGGGCAGATTGTTAGACTGTATGTTCAGCTCTCTCATGAGGCATTTAGGACTTCAAATGCAATAATAAATTAATTTGAAAGATAGAGACAATAATAAGAGATTTGATTTCAGACCAGAGACGTGAAACTTTTGTGGAATTCTCAAACACTAAAAAGCATAAATGACAGCTTTATTTACTTGTGTAAATGAGCCCACCAAGGGGGCAAAACACAAGATCAACAGTGTTAGGAAGAGCAGCTCCTTTTTTCATCTCCAGAGAGATGTGCCTTTCATCAGTGTTATTCCAGCTTTCCTCCACGTCACTTGGCTACCCCAGTCCCCTGAGAGGCCAAGGCAGCAAAGCAAGGGCAAATGAGAGCCCTGGTGTGTGCAGGCTCCCTCCTCCTGAGATAACCCAGGGCACTCCTGGACACAGGACAGGGCAGCTGACGCCCATCAGCTCAGAAAGGAAACCATTCGTTTACTCAGAGGCCAACACAAAGCCACCAGATGGGAACAGTTTTCTGTCACTGTCTCTCAAGGCTGGAGCACAGCTCTCCAGCCTTCTGTGACATCAATTTTATGCTGAGAGCACAGCAGTCTCAAAAAACACTGAAGAGCCATTTACTTGTGAAGTATAAGAAACATCTGTCAGAGGCTGAAAGTGTTAAAGAAATGCTTAACTGTACATTGAGTTGGCAGAATCTTAGGCTCAGACTACAGGAAAAAACATTAGCAGTAAAAGTCCACAAGATTTATCCTAATTTATCAGATTACTTCCTCAGAAAGTCTCCTTTTGAACTGCTCTTCAACAGAAGAACAAATGTGTAGACTTCAATGCTTAATAAAGCTAAAAGCTTCTCCCTGGGGTAATTGAAATTTTTCTATCAAAGGGTAGATAGACCTGGTTGCAGCTGCAACAAAGAAGAAACATATAAAGCCAAGTGGAAAGCAGTTAGACAGCATTGGTGGTGTAGGACCATTGAACATGGTCTTGCTAATTGGAATCTATAGCACAGGACATTCAACTACATGCTGGGCAAATGACCCTGAAAGTTTCAAGTCTATCTAGTATAAAAAAAAAAAAGTTCAGATGTAAAAATAATCATAGGAATGATGGATTCTGTATCCTTGAATGGGCATAACCAACCAGAGATCTGGGTAACTGGCAAATTTCTTTTTTAAATAAGGCCCTTTGAGTCCCATATATGCATCTACTTTCACAAGCATTTCAAAACCCGTCTTCTAATAATTTCACACAGAGCTTTCAGAGCAGCAATGTTCAAAAGAATGAAAGTAATGAAACACAGCAAAGTTTTACATTTTTATTTCTGTACTTTGGGAAAATTCCTATTGAAGACAGAAGGCAGTTCAAATTGGAATTGCTTTACTGCCAACAAAAATGTGTGACTCTTGATCTAACGAAAAATTAGAGAGATTGAAAAGCAGAAGTAGACTTAGGAAAGATTTCAGTTACAGCAGGATGCAGCCCTTATTGCATTTGTAGTTCAAACTGTGATCTCTAAGAAGATCTAAATTGCTCTGGAGTGTGGAATTTAGGGTATTTGAGACTTTATTTTCTCAGAGGAATAAGTATGGGTAGCTAAGAAATGAGGTTTTATTGTCACACATTTAGAAAACATATGTCACTTTAATTTAAAATAAAATGTCATTTAATGATGAAAATGTTACATTCTCAAAACCCTTGTCACGCAAATATGAAGTTGTTCAAAATGGTTTCAAGAAGTGGATATTTTAATTTTTTTTTGACGCTTTCATTCCAGTAAACTGATTTGGATTAGCATACTTTTATTTTATATTGGAAGAACTGTTGTACTTGTGATTTGTGATTATTAGTATGTAACAACTTTGAAATAGTTGTTGTCACATGCTCTGTACCTTTGTGAGCACTAAAGTATTTCTGGGAAGTGAAACAGGTTCAACAGCAAAAGCTGTTATTACACTGACACAAAAGGGTGTCAAACCCTGTGTCTGTGCTTCAGTGCCCCTCAGGGGTGAAAAACCCAACTGGGAGGTGGAGAATCTTACCTTGGGTGCAACACCACATTATGGGTTCTTCCCATGCAAACATCACTTCATTCCAGCTTATTGCAGTGCCTTGATGGGATGTGGCATTGACTGGGAGCTACAGACACGGGCACATAGTTCAGAGAGTGAAAGAACTGCAAGCCAATTCCTGCCCCAGGGCAGCAAAAAGTAGATTTTAACTTGGATGTTCAAAATACCAGTTACCATTATGCTGGATATGAATTAATCTTTTGGATCTCTATTGTTGATGTTTGCAACCATCTCTTCTACCATTCTTTTTTAGTGAGAAAAAGCATGTGAATATCACAAGTGACCATTGTGTATTCTCATGTATTCCCCAGAATTGTTCTTTCTCTTGATTTCCCTCATCTATCACTCATTTTAACTAGCCACCTCTCTTACTTCATCTTTTTTATTGATCAAACACTTTTTCATGAAAGCCTGAATTTGGTACTTTTCTTCCACTGTCATTTGAACTTTTCTTTCTTCTGTTGTTCTTTTCCCTCTATTCTTGATTTTTTAATCATTTTTCTCCTTCTTTTTCTTTTCATCCATACTTCATCCATTTGCACTAATCCTCCTCAGCCCCTCCATTTGACAGATCTAATGTAGTTACAATAAGCCACTTCTTTTCCACTGCCTAAAGCAGCATTTTAAATGTTGAACAGAGGAATTCCCTTCCAAAATCCAGCAGGAAAAGTCCAGGGCTGGACACATCACTCCACTGAGACAGAACAAAACAAGCAGGCACATACAGCTGTGGTGAGAGCAGGTCAAAGCAATCTCAGCTCTTCAGGCTCAGCTGATGAGCCTATGGCAACAAATCACTGGTGAAATCACGTGCTGCAGTGTCTAATATGCCAGACAGCCAACAGCATTTGGCATCAGAGCATCAAACAACTGAAAAAAGGATGTGGAAGCATGCCAAAGGCATGAAATCCTGAGCACTCATGCAATAATTTTACTGATTAGATCAAAAGAATGGTCAGTTTGGCTGTATTTATCAGAACTGTCTATTTTATCACTAAAGAAGCTTAACGAGTTCCCTTTTCTATCTCAACAGCCAGGCAGTCTGGGAAAACACTATGCTATTAATAGAATGGTATTTTTAGAAAGATGGAAAAAAGAAAAAGGCAAGAGTCCAGATTTTATCCCACCCTCTTCAGTGGCTTCTGTGATACAACTGCAGCACACGCACCAGAGGAAGGTCACCTCAGTTGAAAGAGCATTTACAGAAGCCACAGGAAACATTTGAACTTCTTGATAACTCCCTTCACTGAGCTGCTCTCTGTTCCACACTGCCTCACCCTGTCTATACCAGCACAGATGGGCTTGAGGGAACCTAGATTTGTGTGATGTGAGTTACCAGCTACTTCTTGCAATCACCAAAATGTGCATGTTTAATCCCTTACTCTGACTGTTAGTATTTAATTTCTTAAATCAGTGCCTATGACCAAAGTAATAGAAAAGGTTCCCCTGTTTTTTTGAGGGAGCTGAATGCAATCCATATTGGAGAACAACTGATGCTGAGATCCCAACACTGACATATCAACATTCTACTACTTTGTTTGTAAAATACTTATCTTTGCTCCTGGGGGACCCAGGCTTTGTATTTATCAACAGTTTCTTTACATATGCACATAATGACAAGCATACAACAAATACATACATATGGAATTTATGTGTATATGTATAATATATATCTGTTGCTCTGCAGGTGGGACTTTTCAGAGAAACCAGAAAATACATGTACACAGAAAGCTTTACGTTATTGTTGTGCCAACAAATTTGAAGAAAACTTTCTTCTCAACTCCTTTCTTTCCAGAGGAGCACAGATTAAGCCAACTATTAAGTCATTCTTATATCCCTTCCATTTAGATGATAAACACCTGTCTAAGTACTTTGCTGTACCAAAGCCTTCAAAAAGTAGAGTGTGTCAAGACAGAAACCTGCTTTCAGAACTCTCAACAGCAGAGTGCCTTCAGCTAACAACTGATCTCCTTCTGAAATTAATTATTTTGTGCTTTAGATTACATCAGGTAATCCTCTAGGAAAATATATGTTTTTCAGTTTGTTTGCTGAGTTTCACACAGATGCATTGTTAACGTCTTCCAACCTCTAAGTTCTCTCTCTTCCAAACTGCATTTTTTCATTGGGATTGATGTGCATCCCTTTGCTGCTTCAGGTACACCTTTGTTTAAGTGCAATTGTTTCATGTTTTCGTGCCCTGCAACACTAAATTTCTGTACCTCAGATCATGTATTTATGGTAGCAACATGTCCACTGTCCACCCTCTCTCACAAATTTTGCTCAAGGCTTCATGGCCTCTTTTTTAGAGCAGGCCCTGAATTTAAGAAATGAAATACAAATACTGAGAACCAGGGATTAAACATGCACATTTTGGTGATTGCAACTCATATCACATAAACTTACATTACCTGAACCCCTGCTCTGGGTCCAGTCCCACAGTAGAAATGCAAATATCTCTTTACATGACACTGACACTAAAACTTGACCCAGGTGTCAAGTCAAAACAAAGGTAGTCTGGACTTGCCTGAGAACCAAACAATGACCAAAAGTGGATCAGTTATAAAGAAAAACATAACTTTCCTCTCCTGATTTCCACTGAAAGTATTCAGAAGACAGAAATTATTTGGGTTTTTGTGGGTGTCAAGAGCGATAGGAAGGATATAACTCCTAACTAACACTTGTAGACAAGAACTTTTGTGCTTAGACACCTGAAGTTAATTCTGTGGCAGGTTTTCCCACACCATTACATCACCACAAGTGCAGAGGAGTACCAAGGTCCCTCTGGAGCTCACTGCATTTACTTCCTGGCTTGGAACAAAATCAGGCACAAGGTTAGCTTGGACCAGCTGCATCCACACCAGCATGCAGAAGAGGGAGATGCAAAGTGATAATGAAAATTAGCAAACCAAGCCAACCCCATGAAAAGTTGGACTGTGAGTGGATGAGCTCCCACTCCTTGCACAAAGTCCATTAAAGAGCAGTGTTCTCACTGGAGTTCATTAAAATTTCATTGAAATGATTCTGCAGTTTCTTTGCACGGTGCCAGGATGAATATTGAGTTTACAGCAAGCATTGTCTAGTGCTTCTTGTTGCTTTTAGAATGACATCAAACTTTAATTTTATTTTCCTTACTTTCCTGTGCAGCTACTGACAAAAATGGGAAGACCAGTAAAGCAAAAAGTAAAGCAATGGTAAGGCAGAAGTTCACACTGTTTTTTCACCAGTGTGAAAAAACAAGGTTCATATGTTGTCATTCAGAGTGAAATTACTTTCACATAGTAGTCTGTTGCCTGGATGTATATATTTTTCTTTTTCTGAAAATGCACATTATCTTGTGGACTTTGAACAAATGAAACCTGAATGATATTGCTCAACATTACTTCAGCATAAAAACAGACTGTAATCAAAACCATTTTAAACACTGGTTCCTGATCCCTTCTTTATATAATTTAATTAGCTCAGTGACTTTTTCTTTTTTAGACTGCAGTAACAGGAAGTAGAATACAATAGCAAATACCTACTGCATTCTGTGGATTCTTAACACCTTTTGTCCTTCTAAACACAGATTTTTTAACCCTACACCTGCAAATCATTTTAAGTTCATTTGGTCTCCACAGATAAATGTGAGTGCCATCAGCTATAATACACAAAAATAAATTGGCTTCAGAGGTTTTTTCCCTTTAAAGGGAGGTGTAAATGATTGCAAAAGTTAATTTACAATAATAGAAACACCTATGATTTATTCTTTCTCTGATTTCCATACCAGACAGAGGTATTAAAACTGAACTGCACAAAAATGTTTTTACATATACTCACTTAGCAACACCTTTTGTGGGTCCTATTTTCAGAAGCGATGTCTGCTTACAGCAGATGTGGCTGGACACGGATGGGGGGTTCAGCAAACCTCCAGACAAAAATTCATTCACTGGAAAAGGTCAGGAATGCAGTTGTGAAAGGCTGATGAGAAATGGTAGAGACTCTTCTTCAGCTCAATATTCAAATAGGGCAAAAATCACAGAGAAGTATAAAACAAAACAAATAAAATCAAACCACAATCTTTTCCAAAGGAGTTTTCTACAAGTACAGGCCCTTTATCGAGCCCAACAGGATGATCTGTATCTAGGCCATATGTCTCTATACCACTGTCCCACCACAAGAGATCAGATCCTCTCTTCTACTCACACAGGTTTGCTGGAAGTAATTTTACTTCCTTCTGCCACCCAAGTACAATTCATAGAACAAAGAAATGATACACATAAATGAGCAAACTTGGAAGCAGGTAATTTTTCAAAAGAACTCCTCCAAGACTTTTGCTGAGTTGGAATGTGGTTTTGTCATTTGTTATTGTCATGAGGCCAACATGATCTTAATATTTCAAACCTGTGTTGTTTGTCACCACTAAGGATTAATGATGCATAATAATTTACAGAGCATGCTCCCTGCTTCCTAAGCTTCTGCTAAGGCTGGAAGTCTGTGGATGGATGCCTCTCACAGTCATCAGCCTTCTGCCAAAATTTCAGAATGAGCAATGGAACCAAAAAGGTTTTTACCCACTTAAAGGTGAAGCTAGATTAATTTTTTATCATTATTTTGATTTTTATGGCATGAGTTGCTAAGTGTCAGCACTTCCCTTCACGGAATGGAATGTAAGACCCAGTTTGTTATATTGTAAGTGAGAGCATAAGCATTTGAATTTAGTTGACCTTAGGTTTTGACTATTTTTTTTAACAAAATATACGAAGACAGGAT